GTGAGAACAGCTTTTTTTTTTTAAAGGTAAGCATTCTTTCATTACACATCCAAGAAGAGGAGCACAGGACATTTTACTAGTAGAGCTCTCAGTATTTGAGCAGCAAGAGGAGTGAACAGTAACACTTGGCTGCACACAATCCCCACGGCTGTTTACTGCTGTATTTATCAGAGATGCTTAAATGACTCCAGTACTGTGACAAAGGCTTCTATACTCTGTAATTCATGCGTATTCTAATGCACTATGATATGTAGAGAAATACAGAAAGATTGTATGTAATTCGGATGAGGAGCCTTTCCTATCGATGAACAAGATTAAAAAGATTAAAGATAAAAAAGGTGCAGATGCTTCCCCACTCTCCAGTCACCCTCCTAAACACTGTGTGAAAAAAGCACATGGACTAATAAAAGCAAGACACTCGCTTTAAAGACAGGAACCAGTAGAACACAGAAACAAGTGCTACAAGAAGGGTTAGGGAATATTGGTGCAGTTAAAACCGAAGCTCCTGGAAAGAAAAGGTACTGAACTTGAAAACACAGCCACTAATATGCACTTCCCTGCATGCTAAATGTAATACGTATATCTCATCCACCCCTAAGCTTCTTCTTGACAGTATTTTCATTTTATTATTTCTGTCTAGCCTACATTACGATTTTCCTCTCCTGCTTTCTGTTCCTGAAACAAGCTCAGAGGTCAGCAAAGCTATATTTATTCCAGCACTACAGTGCTCTGTTGAGCAAGCCTCAGTACAAGTCAAATCAAGACCTAAATAGACAGTTGACTTTCCCAACAAAATTCTTTATGTTGCATTTTTTAAATACAGGACAGGTTTATCATGAAAAGAGGTTAATTTAATATCCCTAACGCACATCCACCCCCTCATCAGTAAATTAAAAGCTATCATACTGCAATATTCTTAAAATAATTCTCATTGATTAAAACCCTTTATGGACAACCCTAAGTTACTGCCTATGCCAGTAGTATTTAGTTGACGTTCAGGTACAGTGCAACACTTTAGCCTAAGACATGGATTCCGTTGAAGCTGAGGATATTACAAGATGGCATCTTTAAGTGCATTATACTTTAGCAGCTGTCAAAGGTGAGTTTGAACCCTTGGTCGTCCTCCCATCGCAGCGTTAAAATGATCAAACCTCCAAGAGGCAGCAAAGCTCAAGTCTGAGCATCTCATTCCCACCTGTCATGAAGCAAGACCTTGCACTGGGGCTAACCTGTGCTCCTGCATCTTCATACCCTTACAGCAAGTTTGCAGAAGAGATGGGTCGCGTTTTCATCTCTTCTCAAAAAGCAACACTGCAATACTTCCCACTTTTTCTCCTCTTGTTAGAACTGAAGCTCTTTAGTGACATTAAGACCACACTTCATCTCATCAGTTAAGATTCCCCTGCCAGAAAGCTCACACCATGCACTGCTCATCACAGTGCAGCTCCAGGCTTTCACGTGAGGGACCATGCTCCTGATCCTGTCACTGCACTTGTTGATCACCCGTGGCATTCATTACTACAGACACCCAAAGGGGACAGATCTAAAGAGGTCTCACACAGCAGGACAAGTGGAAACACCACTCCATCAATTAAGGGATCCAATGGATCTGCGAGCCCTTCATAGCTGATGACTGCTAGTGTACAGGAAAGAGCATTCTTGCCAAATGGGGACTGGCTGAAGGCAGGAGCTGTTAAACACCAGCTCCAGAGCTGGAGCTCAACCTGTACAGAAAGTTTATTAATGGCTACTGGGATTGAAACTTCCTGAATTCATAGGATCACCTGCAATCCCCATCTCCATAGTTCTTGATTCATCTTCCAAATTCACTAGAATGATTCCAGTCAATTGCAGCAAAGTACTCAGAAGCAAGTTACAGGCAGTTTCCATACTTAATGTGAGGATATGTTTTGCGTTCATGATCGTCAAGTGAAATAAAAGATCAGTGTTGCAAACATCATAGCACGCTGAAAGTGCAATACAGGTTTAATCTTTTATTTGGTCTTGTATGAGCATGATATTCATTCAGGTCTTCCCTTATAGATACAGCTATCCTAATTGTCAGGTTTATATTTTTAAATGTATTTTCCACAATTAGTTATACCTTATGATAAAGCTGAAGAGAAATATTGCAGTCCAAAAAAACACAGCAAATATGGGTTTATCTCCACCTACTTAATCATGCCTAGGCAAGGCAAATACTTACATATATACTCTGCTTTTGCCTTAATATTTCCTGATGAGTCTTAGCAGCTAAGGAAGTATTAGAAATATTTTTATTATTTGCCTACTGTAAAGCTATAAAATATGCAGATCAAGAATTTTTTCCTGTGAAAACAGGCATGAAAGATGTCTCAGTCCTGTCTGAACCATTACATGTGCTGTTATTAACACTGAAAGAAGGAAATGACAACTTCTGGACTCAGTTACAACAGCATTCAGGGCAACGTCAGGCACATGCTCACAAGCTGTTTGGACCCAGTCCCGCCCTAGTACGGTAAGCCAGACTACTGTGCCTTTATTTGTGCCTTTTCCAGTGGGGTACCTGCTAAACATTGAGGAAACAAGATACAACACCATCGACGACTGCCTGTTCTCTTCTGCACTGCAGTTCTTCTCCCTGACACCAAGTAACATGTACAGAAGTGCTCAAGGCATATTTAAGGTCAATACAAGAAGTTCTGGAAGACTGTGTCTCACAAGGGCACTCCCTCGTGCACCTCTTGATCCCTCTTTAAGCTACACATGATCTTTTAATTACATAAAAAAAATTTGGATCAGCACTAAGGTGAGTATTTAACAGTAATACTACTTTTCATGTCTGAACTGATGAGCTCATCTCAAGTCACTCGGTTACATATTTTGTTCCCTGTATGAAAACCAAGGCCAAGAACATTTGTTGACCGTACTTCAGAGAATGAGGAAGCATGCAAAGCATATGAATAGGAGAACTTGCTTCCCAAACCATTGCACTTAAAGATAGCACCATACCCAACTCCAAGCAGAAAAGATGGGAAGGAAGAACGGTCACAGGATAAAAGGTACTCTGTAAACAAGTAATAACATACTACTGAATTCAGACAATCTCCATTTTAAGAGACCGGTTTGAGAGCCAGCTTCCTCAATAGGATATTCTGTCCAGTCCTTGTTCTCTTATTTTTAGCCTCCAATATTTTATCTTTGATATTTTTTAATAATTTGAACGCTGTGGTCAGTGCTGTTTGCATTCTTTTCCATGCACTGAAGCTGCAACACATAAAGGAGTATATCTAGTAAGTAAGAAGAACATCTTAGGACTATTTTGCTAAAACTACACCATACATAATAGTACATTTTTCCAGAAGCAAGGGCACGAAGTTGCTTATTACAGCTGTCGGCAACAAGGTGAATATTTGGCTGCTGCTTATTTCCTTCAAGACAGCTCTCAGTGAAACAGCTGACTGGAAAAATGCAGCAAATACTGGATGTTGAACCATTATGTCAGAAATTAATAATGAAGTATTAGTACAACGGATGCTGGTTTTCATTAATGAAAAAGCCTTTCGAGAAACCATCTAAAAGCAAAAGTCAGCAAGGAAGCTGAAAGTTCAAGCAAGCTGCAATTTTCAGTCATTAGTTGGTATTTTCTTGTTTGTTTTGTCAATTTTTATAGTGCAGCTCTCAGCCCCTTAAAGCGTTTAAGCTCCTAATGACAGAACCAAGGCATCAATACACCCAAGGTGGCACACCAACCATACAGGCCAGGCTCAGAGCCCATCCCCACAGGTCAGAGTTATCTCTTCTGGACACTGATGATCACACCCACAGAGAAAGCTCCCATCCTGAGACCTTCTCTATCTACAAAAGGTAGTAGCTCCAGCTCCCTACGTGCCCCATCCTCAGGACATGACAGCCCCTCTTTTACCATCTTGCATTCCTAAGTACAACAGCACATTTGGCTCTTAATCTACCTACGTGGAAAAGATGAGTACCATGCGCCAACGCAGTTTCCTTGCTCGAGAGCAAGGATGGGGTGAAGATCAGTAGAAAGCTCAATTAGGCCAAATGCTGCCCACAATTAAAACCAAAAACTGTAAGCAATCTCTTGACAGCTACATTGGGTTTCCAGTTATTTTCATTCCTTCTACTTCTGGGAAAAGACTGTTTTCCCCTCATAGCATCAGCTCAACCAGCATGGATATAAAGAATCACTGTTGTATTGCTAACAATAATGTAGTAATACTGATTAGCTTACATAATTACTGAAACACTGCATCTGGGTTGAAATATTATTCAATTTACTTCCACTCCTAACTGATGAGTCTTGAACAGTGCACTAAAGATACTAAAAACCTATCCACTGATAGTCTTCTGTAGAAGAAAGGGAATTATTAACCCACAAATATTCAACTGTACATTTCTAAGACCCTTTGTTATCAATCATTACAAGTTTTTAAAAGCACCACGTTCTCACATTATTATTCTTGATGCGAAGCTTCAAGCTGCTCCCCCAACACACTATTTTTGCCTTATTTATATGCACTACAATGATTTTTTTCCTCATATAATACAGAGGAAAACTTGAGACAAGACAGCTGATACTTTTCACTTTGAAGATGTTCTACAAAAACCTGCAAGTTAGGGAAATGACTCAAAATGGTAATGCAAAATCAGTGGGGAACAAGCTCACTTCATTAAACATCTGCATCGCAAGCCTGAGACTCATATGGAAGTTCAATTGGTTTGCTGAAATCTTTAATACTTACAGTAGTGTTTTCTCTTATTTTCCAGCATGAAATACTAAGCAGAACAAGCACAGTCACCATCCCTCTTCTACAAACATTCTATTTCCCTATTTATTTAATCTATAAATCATTGAAACTGAAGCCCCAGTATTTACTGAATTACTTGCTCTTTTGCTCACAGTACACACCTTTCACCATCTCTACTTCTACCTACTGCAATACAACATACATGAAATGAACTGATATCAATTAAGTAATCAAAAAGCTAAGCTTTACCCATAATCTGGATCCTCCGCACTCAGCTTCCACAGTAAGGCCTCAGTAAATACTTTAACAGCTCACACCAAAGCAGTTTGCTCCTCCCTGGAGACTGGCACACAGAAGGCTGAAGACACAAGGAAAACGGCTCCAGTTTCCTTCTGGAAGCAAAGGAAAACATTTCTCTGAATAAATGGGTCACAAATATGAAAATTGATATTTCATGTTAGAATTAAAGAGCTTGCCACAAAAAAAGAAATCGCCCATCTAGGGATTAACACAGCTGTCCGTAGCTATATCAAGTGACAAGGTCTCATTAAATTATTCAGAAGAACTACTTAAGGCAATACTGTTTTCCCCCCTCTGCTCATAAATACTTAAACTTCCCATTTCCAAAGACCCCAGCACTTACAGACAGTTTTTCAAGTTCAGCAGAATCTTAAATGACCAACATCTAACTCTGAACCCCAAGTGCAGTAGACACGTACTGTTCTTGATTACACGTCATCTGCAAGATCTTCAGCTAGAAACCATTACTTTTTATACTCCACACTAGAAATTCTTATTCCAATACAATAAGCAAGGAGGCATGTAGGTATCAGCTCCAGGCTCTTCTCCCCTCTTCAAAATGGCCAGAAGCTCAGGAACGTAAAGCTGAGCACTAACTTCTGAGCAGTACCTCGTCACGAATCCAAGCAGTCACTGCAATGTGGACGACACTACCCAGTGTCCAGCTTATCTGAAGCCTTCTCTAGCAGCATAAGAAATGAACCACTGTTCCCTTCCAGATTAACCTCACTAATCCCACCAAGTCTGACGGAGCAGCTCCTTGCCTGGACAAGCAACACAAAGGGCTCGGCTTCTCAACTCAGGCACGTGGATCTCATCTCATCCTTGCCATAACCAACACACAGCACTTCCTTCTGTAGAATGGAGGCACAGGACCACTGCTCTATTTGAAGCATAACAAAGGAGTGCTATAATGGAAACATGTTTTGGGGGTAAGCTTGTTGCTTGTCTTCTCAGTAAAACAACTGCCTACAGCAGATAAAGGGAAGTTGCTCTACCAAGGTAGAGTACATTATCACTAGACTGATGCTACTCTTTATCCTTAATCAGTTTTTAGACACTCGCAGCTTAATCTTGTTTGAAACCTGACATAAGCATCTTTCTTGTACTGAAATATCAGCTCCCACTAAGTAATTATTTCTTCTACACCCATGAAGTATTTTTCTCATACTTCTCATATTGAAAGTGAGAGACCATAATCTAAATGTCTCTTTCAACATTTGCTGATACATACATCAGTACAGCAGCACATGACTGCTTGTCTCGCCGCTCCAGAACACTGCGGTATATGATTCCGGAGCAGTCCAGCAGGCAGGTAGTGCAGTCCTACCAAGTCATCAACATCTTCAAGACCACCAGCATTAACAACCCCACTTCCCAAAAAAACATCCAAGCCACAGTCTGAGCTGGTATCAGCGCAGACACTCCAGGAGAATAAAGTTGAATGAGCAGTTTGAAGTCAGTTCAAACTGGTTAGTACATGGACAAATCGAGTTATGGCATTCAAGGCAGGATTAGCAATTAGTTACAGCAAATACATCATGTTAGCACAGACCAACAGCACCAGCACAAAATACTGGGTCAGTCTTCACTTTCAACGAAAAAAATAGCATGCTACTAAAGCCAACAGTTCTCAGTCCAATTGTTTTAATTGAGGACTGTACCAAGAAGTGCAGTAGCATGCTAAAGAAAAATACAGTAATTTTTCCAATTATTCTTTCAACATGATGTGAAATTAAGCCACAGAACAGTGAAATTAAGCACTTATGAAGTCCTATCATCAGAAAAAGGCAATTGGCCTGAAAGCACAGAGCAACCAGAAAAAAGACACTGAGGAGAGAAATGAAGGATGCGATAGTTCAAGTTGTTGTTAATCCACACTCTCCCATGCTATGCTGAAGTTTCCATTGGCACGTACAATGCACGAGTAAAATTCCACAGCACAAATTAAAATTGACTGACTGCCACATAATAAAACTAAAAAATAAACCTTAACATTTACTGCAACTACTTTAAGCCTCCTTTCTCAAGCAAAATAGAATTCGAGACAGCACTAAGTGGTTACAGCTACAACGCATACCCTGGCTGGAGTGATAGATCTCTGCATGATGTCCCTTAGCTTTGTCTTTCAGAAGAAAAAATGATCAAGAGGCAATTTAACAATAGTCACCTGCTAGCATTATGGGGTTTGCATCATCACAGCCAGGTCACTCTCACCCATGCTTCGACACTGAGCGCACACAATCATCATTAAACCTGCCTTTTGACTTCCAGCTCATACTTTAATTGCAATGAAACAGAAGACCATTCTTTACCCACAAAGGCCGATTGCTTTCATGTCACTGCGAAGATGTACTTTCAAATGCTTTCTCAACATCCCCAGTTATGTAGAATAGAACACTGAAGCAACACCTCTATAGCATTATCACCAACCTTTTCTACCTAACTCAAAACTGTCTGGGGACACTTCTACTGAACCCCACGTAAATGCTGTTACAGCCATTTGTTCATTATCTTTCAGTATTAGAGCATCAGACATTACCTTAAAGTCACGTAGTGAAGCAGCAAAGAAACTATTACTCCATTTATATTCCCATTTTGTATAAAAATAGGACATCTGTCCTGTACATGCTCTTCTCCAATATTCTGAGACAGCTCTGCAAAGCTGGCACCTTTGATCTGTCATATTTAACTAGCATGAGGCTCTTAGCACTTCTAAGCATTCACAAAGTCAAGACACCACCCTCAACTGCATACAGAGTTAAATGCATTTATTACAGCATCCAGGTTCCTAGATCATTAGGAAAAAATTAGAGTGGTTTTTCCCCTCTTCTCTGAGATATCGGCACAGTCTATTAAACCACCAGCATTCCTATGTAAACTAATATTCTTACATCGATTGGAAGAAAGGCTGCAAAAATTGAAGCAGCTCTCCCATACCCTGGTTCTCCCAGCTTTGAGCCATATAAATCATCATATGGATTTCACTAAATCAGAATGACAAACTATTTCTCTAGAGTATAAAAAGCTCTTAAACTACTTGAAACAAAAGACTATTTCAACTCCAGTGCATGAGAAACTACCCCTGGAAGCTTATGGAAGTGTGGCACTGAGAATTTGCATCTTTCTCTAATGCTGCTAATTGCTCCACTACAATCCAACCCAGATAATGCAGCTTGAACTGTAATTATTTTATAGAGCTACTCATTAAAAACAACATTAGGCATGCCATTCACCACACTGGTTTTGCCAGACGAAGTCTTACACAGCTCTTTTAGACTATGCATTAAATTGACCTAAATCATGGAGCAAATCCTCTTTGAACACATTTTTGGGCACAAAGGACAAGAAGATAGTTAGCAACAGTCAGCAGGGATTCACCAAGGGAAGATCACAGTTAACGATCGGGCCACCTTCTATGAAGAATCCACACTGGTGAACAAGAGGAAGAACAGTAGTGTGCTCACCTTGACTTCAGCAACACTGGCACTCAGCGTCTTACACCCAAGTTCTGGTCTTACACTATGAGGACGTGAAACATGATGGGGAAAAAAAAAAATCAAGCACAAATACTGTCAAATACTACCCTCTAGTTCTCTGCATGGAAAACAGCGGTACTCAAGTCTAATGCTACCCGCCCTGTTTAACGTCTCAATTGGCCTGCAGGAGCTAGAGCACATGGGAGTCACCATTAACACCTGATCAGAACAATCAGCCACTAGGTTGAATTGCAAAATGCCATCCCAGGTCGGACTAATGGACTGACTGAAACCTCAGTGACAGCATGAAGCTCTTGGCAACTAAGAGACGCTTGCCACAACAACAGCTGGAAACAACTCTGCAGAGGAAAGCCCTCGAGACAACCCCAGCAACTACTATGTCTTGGCAGAAACATTAGCACTCCCCACAGTTTTAGCAGGAGCAAAGACCATCAAGCCAAGGAAGCAATCCACTCAGTGTATTGAGGACTGACTACACAACCCCTGTGTTTCAGCTAGTTCTTAGTACCCCACTACCAGACAGGCATACAGACTGAAGCAAGTTCAACAGAGGGTCACCAAGATAGCTGGATTTGGAGCACACAGCCCTTTCAAGGAAAAGCTGAGGACACTGGTCTTGTTTGGACTGGACACATCTTCAAGAGAATGTAATAGAAAACAGCCTCTCAAAAGGCTACACATGCAGGTGGAGCAGGACAGATGTGGGAGAAGAGCTGAAAACATAAACTGCTTTAAAGGGGAGCCCCCTGATATTGTGTACTTTATTCATTCCTTTCAACTTGCCAGCAGATAAAGCACATAGCAAGATCGAGATGGCAGCTACAGCTACAGAACACAAAGCTCTTGTCAGATGAGAAAGAAGAGTTCATCCACATACAGTCTAGAACAGATCAGAACTCACTGCCTCTGAGCTTTTTGGTTTGCCATCATCAGAAGTGTAGTAGGGACAAACAAACTCCTGGCATTGCAACCTCCCTGCAGCTAAAATGGGAGCTTCTGTGATGCTCTTAACTACACCAAACATTCCAAGAAAGCTATTTTTATCTTCATTTCTCCACTGTTACAGTGATATAGCGAGCCTACCTCAAGCAGCCTTAAGGCTTGAGGTGTTTCAGGGTTTGATTCCAAGTTCTGAGAAATAGTGAATTAAAAGGCTGTAGGAAACACTGCCTCCTCCAGACACATAGCCAAGCTTACCATAAGTTTACAATAGATCTTTAAACCAAGCCAAGTCCTCTTGTAAGGGATTTTATTTTATTTATTTATTTTTTTTTTTACTCCCTCTTGAATTACTCACCATAGCAGTCTGGCAATGCACAACCCTACAAGAACACCATTCTGTTCACTCTATCCCATTAAGCAAAACTTGAGTCCATCCTGGAAGCATTCCGAAATGCATCAGCGCAATGTCCTTCACGATAGTTTCCTCTAACTGGATAGTTATTTTTCATTAATGAATATACAAGGAACTGAGTGTTTATTGCACAAAAATGAACACGGTTATGAACACCACGTGAGCAGCCATAATGTCATTCTTAAATCAGATTCTCAATTCGTATTTTTCTAGTGTAATTCTCATACAACAGCAACATGGATAAATCATCAATTACAGACCATAAACAGGTGATATGTGGAGATTTGATATGAAGAGCAATTATTTTCACCTAGGAGCTTGGACAACACTTTGAGGGTAGAATTCATGTCTAACTTATTCTATTTCACACACTCTGGTGCCCTGCATTACAGCAATCAGACTGTCAGACGCTCATTTACGAGCAGACCGCTAGGAAGTTCTAGTTGTGAAGTGATTTATATCCCACCTAAGCATTAACTGTTTTTGGAGAGAGTTCTTCACATCTCTGAACCATTGATATTCTTACGCCTCAGGAAAGCTTTTATTAATGCATTCAGTATTACCTGTGAACAATAGGCTTACAACACACACCAAATTCAACTACTATTATACTTTAATTCTATTTTAGCTTGTTACTTCATGCTTACTTCTAATAAAATAATCCAGTCAGAAGATAAAGAGTAAGAAACAAAGCCGTAGTTGGAGATCAGAGTAAGGTCAATGAACAGCAATTCCCAGGAAAAAGAAACTTCCACGAAGTGTAGGAGTTGCATTTTTCATCATCAGTGACATTGCCATTGTCATCATTAATATGTCTCTTTACATTACTGCCACTTTACTGCAGTTAATGACCCATTTCCCACACCATCTCGCTGCTAATCTATGTCTTTCTTTATTAAATTGGTAGTTAGCTGGCAAAGACAAGTTCTGGTCACACCATCACCGCGAACATTCGGTATTTAAACCTCCCAACAGAAAGGATGACACTTGGAAGTGAATTAAACAAGAGCCACATCACTCGTTACAAGCTATTTTTATATGAAGAATCTATGCAAATCACTTCTTAATACACAGAACTTCAAAGACTCTATGTGACAAGTGAACTGCAGTCCCTTTTTCTCTAACACTGACACAAGGATCTACCTAGATCAACGAGTATTTGGAGCTGGGCACAAAGACGCTCTTCCAGTGAAGTCTCAGACTGGAAATACTCAGGTCAGCTTTGCTACTTATTTTTTCTCCCTATTTGAAACCAAGAAAGGATAACGAAAATACTGACACTGTCCTACAATCAGCATAAATAATCCCTTGATAGTTACTTCCCTGCCTCACCACAAGCAGTAGAGGAAAGCATTTGGAAGCAATTTCAAGAAAAATCAAGGAACACAGGCCATAATATACAAGTAGCTATCCTAGGATGTTCTCATTACTGTTTTGTTACCTAGTGAGCAACATTTATTTCCTGCTTTTTTTTTTTTTTAATATATAGAAACAGCAGAAGTGACAGAACTGCTGGGTTCTCACACTTACATACATATCCTCCATTCTTCTCCATTCGTGTTCTAATGAAAACTAGAACCTAACAGTTTCCACAACACCAGGTTAATGACTAACTAGCTGAATTTCACCAACAGCCTTCAGCAAAGGCCTCAAGAAAGCCTGCCAGAATCATTTACTTACAGCCAATTATGTTGATAACGAAAGGTTTCTCAGAGATCTACCTTTCTTGGAGCAAGGAAGACAAACAAGCACAGATTTCGCAGAGGTAAAACAATTACATATTGGACTACACATTTTAGAGCCAAATAAGTGAGGTTTGCAAATAGTTGCACTTGGAAAATTTACACTCTGCCTCAATACATGATTACCAAGCATCATTTGCTATGTTAAGCTGTGCCGAGTCCGTTTTACCCAATCTTCTCCTACAATAAATGGACTTATTTTGATGTATTACTGAAGATAAGAAAAAACAATAATCTGACTGCACTTCAGAATAAGATATCCCTTGACAGCAAAGGCTGCTTGCGTGTTTGTATTCAATATCAGGTATAACTCCAGTATGAATGAAGTCCAACCTGCATGTCCAACTTACTTTCCTCCTAGAGAAGAGGTAATCACCCACACATCTCATCCATCACAAAAACCTGGCTGCAGATTCCAGATTCCTTGTGACTTAGATCTACTGAGACAAGTCATTTGACTTTGAGAGGCTCTGCAAAGTCGCCCATCACTTTCTCTAAAGCTTTTCAAGTCACCTCATGCACAGACAATCCTCAGGACATCAGAGGGATGATGGTCTGTCACCACATACTAAAACATAAGCTTCAACAAGTGATACCGTAGTTAATAATCAAGAAATTGTACATATAAGAAAAAATAATGATATATACTTCATTATCCTAGAAATACAAGAACTTTTTACAGATACACATTCATTACTTTTCACTCCCCAACCTACCACTTTCTCCCAGTGCAGTATATAGGATGTGTCATTGGCATATGTAGTTTACCCAAGCTACACAATACTCACACCTGCACTCCTCAGTTAAAGCCACATTCCTAGCTGGAACAAAACAGCATCCAAACCCCATACATCACACGTCAGCATACAGCTCTTCAGTGTCTATCTCACTTCCACAGTCTTGCTTGCTTCCAAGAATGGAGAAGTCACACTGGAGAGCACCAAAACAAGTAGCAGAGGTCTGAGCAATTCTTGTTTGGTCACTGGCCTCAACACTCAAGCTCTAAGAGGAAAAAGAGTAAGACAGCATAGTGCGTAATACCCTATCTCTAGAATATTTAGTTCCCTCTAGAGAAGCATTTTTAGTGGGCATTTCTACAGAGTTTAACCAGCTGGACACTAGTTGAAGCGAATATAAGAACAGCCTATATGAATTTGCCACATTACTTTCTACTCTGAAAATTTCATTTCATCTATTTGATAGTGTCCCCTATAAAAACAGATTTGTAATACAGTGTACTTCCACAATTATTTCGTCTCGTTTAAATTTCTGCAACCTTATCTTTTCCTCCTAAAGTGAAGGAAAATATAAATACATAAATATATGCAGACTATTCCACATGCATCTTTCTCAACTGCCCAACTTTGCAGTAATAACCAACTCCCAGTTCTCCAGTGAACCAGCATCTGCCCAGAAGTCAAATGAATAAACACGTAGTATACTCATCATGCTTTTTTCACAGAAGTAACAGAACAGAGACAATACAACCTTGTAGCCAATTCTACCTGCAGCTCAAGTACCAAAATTGATTCTGCCTCCAACACAGATGTGAAGCCACTAAGACGTCCAAATGGCAAGAACCACACGGCTCACCAGACTTCTGATGCCCCCACACTTATTACACTTACCAGTTTATATGATCCCATTTCCTCAGCTGTTGATTTTTTTTTTTAATCTATTTCAGTTGCATTGCCATCTACCTCCTTCACCTTAACTGAACCAAACAGAGGATACTTGTGAGCAGCATTCCTTCAACTCTTAAACTAAGAGAATCAAGACAAACCTTTGACAGTTATTTTTCTGTTTTTGAAACATTTCAACTTAGGGTTTAGTTTTCTCTTGGTCCATTTTTTTTTTTCTTTCTTTCTGTTGTTAAACCATGAACACTACTGGTTAAGCAGCTAAATAAAGCAGCTACGGTGATGAATTTAACCACAGATGCA